TCGGCAGGCGAGGCGGCAATCGAGTCTCTGCTCCGCCTGGTTCGAACCAGCGGGTTTCACATGGACATGGACATGGTCTCTCGCACCTCGAGCAGCCACGCCCAGTTTCCTGTCTGCCGGGCGCCCACGTGATCGACGGGGGCGAATTGGCTCCTCTGGGGCGGCGAGTGTACTTGGGATTGTTGGCGGGTGGGCAGCGATGCCCACACAGACAGATGAGCGGGAGGAAGAAGAAGAAGGAGAGGGTGGAGAGACTCCGAAAATTGGGGGGATTGATAAAGGGCTGACGAAGCCGTATCACCAGCGTGGGGGTGGGTGGGGTCTTGGAGCTGGGAACGAGGACATTATCAGGCCAGTTGAAGAAGATGACGATGACGATGCATTAGACTGGGCTCAAGCTCAGGTTAGTGGGAGCTATCCAGCTGAGGCGATTTCAAATTAATTTTACACTAATGGATCTAGGCCGTGGTCGAGAAGTTAGTAGGGATAAAACCCATTGAAGCTGTTGCCGATTCGCGCAGAAGGGCAACTTAGCTGATATAACTGATGGAGGTCTTCAGTGTTGATTGTCTGTGTACTGATACTGTACCTTGCTACGGGTATGGCCGCTTCCTGTGTCTCGTGTTCTTATTTGCCCCAAAGCTGATATCTCGCACGAAGAATACTTAGAAAGGAGTACTAGTTGGGCCTTCATTGACACGACAGTCTGTAGCTTGGTCTATCCCGATCAATCTTTGGAGTGTCGTGTTGATGAACAGCAGCATCCGCTCGCTCTCATGTACACAGTGGCCAGTGGTACAAAAGAGGTCATCGTTACTGATATTTATGCACTCCCCGAGGGGATGGATTGCGAGGAAGCAATTTTTTCATTGATGTCGATGAAAGGCGACAAACTTTCACCAACCGATATCATGATCTCGAACCCATCTTCCCCGACATTCCTCGTTCATCATTAACATCATGGTACCCCAGTGCTGATCACGAAGCCTTACTTCAACTATTCAGAGGCACAATAAATCATCTCGCACGCCTTCATGTATTCCAGAATTTTGCAGTCAATTAACTTTCAGAAAGCCCAACTGACGAAGTTATCGAGAGTAAATTCACCCTGACATCGACGAAAGTTCGGGTCGGTCCGATATCAGCGAGGTTTGTCCTGGAACCACCACAAGACGAGAGGTCAAGGGGGAGGCCTACATCAGACAGGTGCTAATCATTGTTTAGATTCCATTGAAGCAGAAGCAAATTGGAGGAACATTTTCGACAATGTACCGCATCGTGTTGATGTTGATGTACGTGATCCCCGTCTATAATTGAGCTGTCCCTCTTAACCAGTGTGTTGTTGATCCCCGACAGCACACGGAGCAACTGAGCATGCACTCAATCCCGGTCCAATCCTTTCAACTGGGCTCAAAGATTCGTCTCTGGCACGCAGCGCTACGCAGACGAAAGAAATCAGGCATTCAGTTGCGTGTGCTAATAGTCGAAGTCCCGCTAACAGCAGGCAAGCCTGTATGTGTTTCCTTCCAAATTCTTTACTACTATTGCTTATCTCGATCAAGACATGAAAGGCAGCGGATAACGCACGTCGCATAGAATAAGAGGGTGCAAAAGAATTTCCCTGCCTTTGCAGCTGCGACCATCAGATGACCCGCTGCAGTCCATGTTGAACTGACTTCGTGCTGTCGATGGTGCGTGAGGGTCTGGTGGGCGCTTGTGGCGATACCTGTCATATCGGTCGGGTTGTCTGTCAGTGCTGCCGATACCTACAGATAGATTAGCAAGTAACGGAAATTCATGTGCCTACTATACAGCACTGCCAGCAAGTCATCAGGAAATGCGAAACTTGTTCGAGAAGAAGCGGTACTAATTAATAACTGCGTCAGCGGGGTCTGTAAGCGGAACGACACAGCGCTGGCAGTTATTTATATTTGACTAGGCAAGACACGGTTTATAACGGTGACGACGTATGTGGAGAGACTGCTTAATCAAAAATCATGTTCAAAACCTTTAGGGACAACGTAGACATACACTTGTTGTGTAGGGTGCGGCACGGATGCGGCAGGCCTGAGGCCCTCCAAATGAGGTCGTCGGACCGGCAACCAAGTGGAACCTAGGTCCTGCCTACTATGTTCACCACCACTAGTACTGGTGATTCGCGATCGCTGGAGCTGCAATATTTCAGTGTTTCAAGCTTTCAAGGGTCTGATCCAGGCGTGCTCGTAGCAAGTTGTTCCAGAACTCTATGTACGTAAGTATAATGCACACAGGTTTGCACAACACGATTGTTCTACACAGCTGTTAAGTACTCCTTCGACCCTCTACGTCTTACGTTCCCTGGACCTCTTACCAGCTATCATATAACCCACCCGACGAAAATGCTCTCTCTGTCACTCAAGGCTTCTATCAAGGATTTCGATCTCAGCAAAGTATTCGCAGTTCGGTCGAAGCGCCCCACAAAGAACAGACGCGCACAGTGCAGCTCGGCAACCCACCACGAAGGCCATGACTCCATCTCTGCAGATATCCCTAGTGAGTTTCCCGTTTCTTCATCCACTCTCCATTCGGATTTATCGCTACTAGTGGACTCTGGATCTCTGGCGAGGGATCCAGATCCCCAAGTCTCCGTCAATATTTCCTCTGCTACAGCCTCCCATGGCGATTCCTTTGCCCGCGCAACTTCTGACGTAGCTCAGACATTTCTACCTGTCGTCCAGGCCTTTGCAAGTGCAATTCCAATCGCCGGTCCTCCTATGCAAGCTGCTATTGGTGGATTATTGTCAATCCTTCAAATTATAGATGTGAGAGTTTATTTTATTATTAGGATATTTCTTGATTCATGTGTCATCACAGAGACGTAGTCAGAATAAAGCAGACCTAAATCGCCTGAGGGAACGACTTCAACGACTAAGCTCTCATCTGTGCAACGCTCCGACTGCCCAGAATCCCTCCGAACAAGACCGGAGGAATTCCATAATTAGGTATGCACATTCTTGATGTGTTCTTGACGTTTCCCTACATTGAGTGGGCTTAGGATTCTGCAAGAGACCTCTGCCCAGCTGACGAAGCTGCAAAAACGTCGTTTTGGACATGCATCCGTCACACAAGCTATCGCCGGATGCTCCATTGAGATCGACCGTTATTTGATGGAGTCTTTGGTTGTTTCCTACTCTTTATAAATTGCCAGGATTCACTTACTACTCCGTTTGGCTAGTGGTCGTTCCAAATGCAAAGTCACCACGACACCCACGAAGGGTCGGCAATCCTACGGAGGCAGCAGGATTCTGTGGGACCCACCGCAACGCTGTTAACCGCGGCTGTCACGCTTGGCTGTGTGAAACTGGTAGACGCGACAGGCTACGAACATGCAATATCAGTGACCTGTTGCACCTGTTTCAGGTCTGCCTCCCCAGCGTAAAATTTGTATTGGGAAGCTTGCTCATTAAATTCTCTTTAGCAACTCGATAAGATGCTCCAGGTCCTGTTCGAACGCAATTCGATTGAAGCTCGAATTCAGAGACAGTATATGGAGCAAGGACAATATGATTTGTGCATTGACGACGACAAGCAAGTGTCCCGACTTACAGGCCATGAATGGCCAAGAATTGATGCAGGCACGACAATCGTCATGAGGATCGTCTTTGAAGAGGACATAAACTTTCAAGCTGAATACCAATGTTATTTGTGCGGCGCTGTCAATCGCATTGATGCCAAGCATTCGCTTCAACGCCAGGCTGGTAGCTCGATCAATTGGTGGGTATATTTGTCTTTTGAGGGCTGACAGGGCCTAACAACCAAAAGTCGAATATGCAAACGACGATTTCAGATCTCCCGCGAATACAGTCCAGAGCCCAAAACACAATCTTCCATTGACTACACTGAGGCAGAAACGCACCTCATTCGCAACTTTCATGTCCAGCAAACAGTATGTGCCCATGGGACTTCCTTAGCCGTTTTAAACTGAAAGCGCAATAACTCTAACCCCAACCCGCACGCTGCTGGTGCTCTGGCCGCGTCCCGCTCTCAGTTCGTGCGTGTTCGCGTGCTTTGACCTACTTCCCCGACGCTGATGGTGCTCTGGCCGCGTCCTGCTCTCAGCGAGTGCGTGTTCTCATGCTTTGACCAGTTTCCCCGATGCTGATGGTGCTCTGGCCGCGTCTCGCTCTCAGGATGTGCGTGTTTTCGTGCTTTGACCTGCTTCCCCGACGCTGATGGTGCTCTGGCCGCGTCCTGCTCTCAGGATGTGCGTGTCGTCTGTTGAAATGTTTACTTTTCAGGCAATACTGTCATTTTAATGCATCAAAACAGGCTAAGTAGCCTAGTTTTGTGATGCATCAAGCTTGCTCATTGCGTGATGCATCATTAATGCATCAGGGATCTGACAGTTATGCATCATCCATCCGGTACATATTTGGGCTGCGCCGTCCATATTTAGCACTCGTCCATCCATATTCAGTGCGCTGTACCTATATATACCTTGCTCCCTGGCAATATTTTGCTTCCGGTAGTACCCTGTAGTACCTTGTTCCTGGTGGTACCTTGCTTACCTACTCAAATCTTTGGTGTCTGGTTACTCAGTATTCAGTTTGGTAGGCCTCTTGCTGTTCCTACTCGAATCCTTTGGTGTCCAGCCACTCAGCATCCATTTTAGTAGGTCTCTTGCTGTCCTAGTTGTCCTTTCATATTAGTAATAGGGCAGGTCCCATCAATGACGCAATTTTTGAGCTGTGAATTCGCTAAGTCCCCAACTCTGTCATTCTACCAAGGTTTTCCACTAAGTCCTCAACTCTGCCATTCCGCCAAGGTTTTCCGTCTCGTACGTTACACAGTACATCACAATTAAGTTGCTGTAGCATACTATAATCAAGCATATTTTTTGTACTTGGACCAAATCAAACTGTTTTCAGAAAGTCAAAACAACGAAGTTATATTGCAGAGTGCAGCACAATATTTAGTACAGTGTACAATCACCAAGATGTAGAGGTACATTAACAAGATATTTAAGAGTGACGAGCCCTTCTATAGAGTTTATCAGTATTATCCACCTTTGCACAGGAACAGATGAACATACTTCCGTGAGTCCACGGGGCGAGCACGACGTGTGTGGACACCAATGTCGTTATCACGTTCTCGGGGATTGAATGGAACATTGTTACAGACGCAGAGACGAGGCACATGTGCTGCTGGAGGGTCTAGTATTGTAGATGGACCCATAGATAAGGTAGGAGCTGGGGGGTTTTCAACATGCCGTCTACGCACCCCACGGCGAGGATGGACCTCTGGTTGGTTAGCAAGCGAATCACCTTCGTGGTTATTCTCTCCTTCCTCGCTATGCATGGACGAGACGGCAGGAAGAAGAACCTCTATCTCTTGATGTGGGTGTTACAACCGCTATCTCATACCTTTTACACTCTTACGATATGCCTTCCTTTCTTGAACTTGTACTTACTATCTCACGATGACTTGGTCTGTGTGCACATATGGATCTATTTAAGCACATGTATTACGCTTGTATTCTTCACTTGAATCTTACTAGGTTTTACCTGGAACATCCTTCGCTTAAGACCTCCAATCTTAAGTCGTCCTGAAACCCGATTCTTAGTCAAAGCACTCCTCTGACTAAGTCCACAGAACTCTCTCTTATTTGAGAGACTGAGAATCTCAACGACCGAAAACTCTGTCGAGTTGTCGTTGTTAGAACTATCCTAGTTCGTAACAAAAGATTCAAGTCGAAAGACACCACACATCTGTGTGTGTCCGATACCAACTCTACAAAGAAGACAACCACCGCATCATTTTCATCACGTCGTTTATGAATGAAGGAAATGCCAGATTATGGAAAGAAGAATTTCTGGAAGACGCTCAATTCATTGACTCCTCTGGACAAAAGAAAGGATATGGTACCATGAAAGATTTCTTAGAAGCTTTCAATAAAGCATTCTCCGCAATTGATCCTTCCAGAACAGCAATGACCAAGCTAGGAGCTCTCAAACAAACCGGAGATCTCCAGACTTATATCGCCGATTATCAGAGGCTAATCGCTCAGGCAAAAGTCAAAGAAGAAACCGCCAAAATCTTTCACTTCCAGCAAGGACTCAATATAGGAATCCTTATCAAGATGTTCAATGCTGGAAACGTCCCAAAGAACTTCGATGACTACATCGCCGCAGTAGTCGACATTGATAACTGCCACACACAGTTACAATCCATTAGATCCCGCTTCCCTATACAACAGAAGAAGAAAAGATTTGGGGATCAAAGATTTGTACCCACAAGGGATCGCGATGCTATGGTGATTGATCGACTCACAGATGAAAGTCGCCAAGAACACATGCGTGTTGGAAAGTGCTTCACTTGCCACCAGATCGGACACTGTGCTCGGGAATGTCCGCAGAAGAAAAAGGGACCTCCCGTTGTCCGCAAAGTAGAAGAAGAGGAAGAAGAAACTAGGCGCATTCAAGAGGATTTTTGAAACAGAGAAACATATCGACGGTGGAATCTCCAATAGAACCTGTACGTTTGATACGAGCTGTCAATGATAAAAAAGAACTTCGCATTCCCATTACTCTCATATCTCGAAAACAGGAAAATGTCGAAACAAGTGCGGTAATTGATTCTGGCGCTTCTGGAACCTATATCTCCGAAAGCTTTGTGAAAAAGCTCGGGATAAGAACCCGAAAACTGAAAAAACCATTCAATATCCGAACTGCAGACGGAAGCTATTTCAGCAGCAGACCAGTAAATCGGTACTGCACCCTTATCATCAAGATTGATGAATGAACCATGATAGGAAAATTCAACATTACCAATTTAGGAACACGAGACCAAATTCTCTTGGGAATTCCATGGCTCCAAAAGATGAATCCCTCTATCGACTGGGCAGAACGAACTCTCTCACTTCCTTGTACCCCAAAGTCTATCGAAATCTCGGAAAGAATTCGAAAACTTAGCACCCCCCCCGAACAAAGAAAGTGGACAAATTCCAAACTAAAGAAACAACCATCCAAATTCTCTGCTTCCATCGAGGAAATCCCTGAAGATGTACCACTGTTGCTACCAACGGAGGATGACGATCTTTTTGACACTCAGGAAGATGTTTGGTGCGCTCCACCGGTACAAGATGTCTCTACCTATAAGCTAGATGACGGGGAATTCCTGGTTGAATACGGTGCTGATGGAGAATTCGTTCGAATTATACAAGAAATTTCGCTCGACACTCCTCTCACAAAGGATGGAACATCCTTTTCGGAACAAATTCCGATCATCACCCCTCTTAAAGTTAGCAACAAGGCGCAAGAGTTTGCAACGGAAGAAAAGGAAAAACAGAAGAAACCCTTCGAAGAACTCGTACCCGCTTATCTCCATGAGTATGCGGATGTATTTGCCAAAGATGGACTAAAACAACTCCCCCCGGAACGACCAGGAATAGACCACCGCATAGAAACAAAACCTGGGTTCCTTCCAAGGACGTCTAAAGTATACCCCCTCTCACCAAAAGAAAGGCTTGCGGTAAAGAAATTTATTGACGAAAATTTGGAAAAAGGTTTTATCACTCCGTCGAAATCCCCACAAGCCAGTGGGTTCTTTTTTGTAGGAAAGAAAAGTGGAGAGCTTCGTCCCTGTCAAGATTATCGAGGCATTAATGATCAAACGATAAAGAACTCTCATCCCCTTCCACTTCCGGCAACTCTTATCGAACGACTACACGGGGCAAACTTCTTCACGAAAATGGATATTAGATCAGGATATAACAACATCCGTATCCACCCGGATGATCGATGGAAAGCCGCGTTTACCATGGAGCACGGATTATTGAACCAAGTGTAATGTTCTTCGGGCTATGCAACTCACCTGCCACCTTTCAAGCATTTATGGATAATGAATTCCGTCAGGAAATCAACGAAGGATGGCTGGTAATATACATGGACGACATCCTTATCTTTTCAAAGACACTTGAAGAACATCACGAACGAACAAGGCGGATCTTAACAAAGATTAGAGCGGAAAAGCTATTTCTGAAACCAGAAAAGTGCACGTTCGACTCTCAAGAAGTCGAATTTCTTGGCATGATCATTAAACCAGGATCCGTAGAAATGGACAAAGCAAAAACCAATGGCATCAAAGAATGGCCCGTTCCTACTTCTGTTAAAGAAGTTCGGTCATTTTTAGGATTCTGCAATTTCTACCGATCATTTGTCGCTCACTACTCGGACATCGCTCGTCCCCTTATCGATCTGACCAAGAAGGATACCATTTTCTCTTGGAACGCTCAACATCAGGAAATGTTCGACCAGTTGAAAACCTGTTTTACCACCCATCCTGTACTCCGCAACCCAGACCCCTTAAAACAATTCGCTATTGCCACAGACGCTTCTTTAGTGGCAACAGGAGGAGTTCTATTACAAACTGACGAAAACGGTGTCTATCACCCCTGCGCCTATCTATCGCAATCATTCAATCCAGCCGAACGAAATTATCCAATTTTTGACCGAGAACTCCTTGCCATAATTCGTGCGCTAACCGAATGGCGACATTATCTTGAAGGACACCCCTCCCCGATTATAGTTTTCACAGATCACATGAACTTGCTCTACTTTAAGAAAGCTGAACACTTATCTCGTCGACAAGCACGATGGCAGATGCTTCTGACTGACTTTGATCTGGAGCTACATCACGTTCCTGGTTCTAAATTAGCTGTACCTGACGCCCTCTCTCGGCGATCAGACCATGATACCGGATCCTCCGATAACGATAACACCATCCTACTTCCCGATTCCATGTTTGTCCGACTCATTGATGATGACCTTCGCGCTACCCTTGCCAGCTCAGATGCACTTAACGACCCACTATTCGCCACTGCCGTAGACGCCCTCAATGGTGTCTGTCTTCCCCCCATGAAATCCGCTTTAAGTGATTGGAAAGTAGATTCAGGGATATTGTCTTACAAGAACCGAGCGTATATTGCTCCTGATCATCGCAAAACTATGTTGGCTCGATACCATGACCATCCAACCGCTGGTCATCCCGGACGTTTTAAAACCGAGGAATTGGTCAAACGCGAAGCGTGGTGGCCAGGTATGGGAGCCTTCATCCGGAAATACGTTGAAGGATGTGCCACCTGCCAGCAAATGAAGGCCGATACACATCCCGTTACGCCACCTCTCGTCCCCATTTCCTCCCTTGCCACCCGCCCCTTTTCACAGATCTCTGTCGATCTTATCACGGATCTTCCCATTTCCTCTGGTTTTGATTCCGTCATGGTCGTGGTAGACCATGGGCTTAGTAAGGGGGTGATAATTACTCCTTGCCATAAAAATATTACCTCTGAAGGGGTAGCCAAACTATTCCTGAAACACGTATTCAAACGCTTCGGATTACACGACAAAGTAATCTCTGACCGAGGACCCCAATTTCTCTCAAAATTCTCCGTGGAATTAGCTCGACTCCTTGATTATTCTATCGCCCCTTCCACCGCCTATCATCCGCAGACTGATGGACAGACTGAACGACTCAATCAAGAACTAGAAACATACCTACGGATCTATTGCAGCAACGACCCAACTAATTGGGTAGAACACCTTCCCATGGCAGAGTTTGTTCACAATCATAGAAAGCATGACGCCCGAAATGCTTCACCTTTCTACATCATGATGGGTTATGAGCCTAAAGGAATCCCCCATGTCTTGGCAGACTCAACAGTACCAGCCGTGGAGGAACGAGTTCGACTTCTTCAAAAGATCAGAGAAGAAGCGATAGCCTGTCACAACATCGCTATGCAACGGATGGCGGAAAGATCCTTCGGCCAGAAGTACCAACCATGGAAAGTAGGCGATAAGGTGTGGTTATCTGCAACCAATCTCCGTCTAAAACTCCCATCTCGGAAACTCGCCCCGAAAAGATATGGCCCCTTTCCCATTTCTGCCGTACTATCTCCGATCACGTTCACACTCCAACTACCTCCGCAATGGAAAATACATCCCACGTTCCATGCTTCCCTATTATCGTCCTATAGCGAAAATGACGTTCACGGTCCGAACTTCTTGGAACCACCACCTGACATTCTGGAAGAAGAAGAAGAATACGAAATAGAAGCTATACTGGCTCACAAAGGTACCAGCAAACGTCGCCGTTATCTTGTATCATGGAAAGGATATTCCTCCGCTAGCAACGAGTGGATCCCGGAAGAAAACCTGGAAAATGCCGGAGAAACCCTTTCGATCTATAAAAGAAAACACTCGCTGTGATATCTTCCCATCAACATAAACATTATGTCCTTCCCAGTTTCTTACACTCTCCCCTATGAATCCACGTTCGCCCCAATCGACCTATCCTCCGACGAAGGAAGATTTGAATCCTTCATCTCAGAAATCGAAGACCTTACTCTCATCGAAGCCGCAATCCTTTGTCCCCAACATGCCATTGAAATCAACAAGATCCTTATCAACCGAAACGCCTTCTCCATCAATCTCCTCGTTAACGTCATCAGATCCGCCGAACTCATTGAAAGACTCGTACGACATGTGGAGGAACCACGTGTTCAACATGGCATCATGCATTTACAGAAACGCATTCGTGCTTACACTCTGCGTCTTATCCCTCAGGAGGTTAGGGCAGATATCCAGGAAGTTATTCACATCATTGCTGAACGAGTCACCGGAGTCGCTCGCCCACCATCTCCACAACCAGTTGAACGAACAACTGCGACTCCACCACCTTCCTATGACGGTGGAATTCCCATTCCTCCTCCTCGTGTGTCTGACGAGCTATTGGCTGCTGTTAACAGCCTCACGGAGATTACCAACGCCATGATCGTTAACCTGCAAGAAGAGACCCAACTTGCATTACAACTAGCCTCCACAGCATCCGCAACCACGTCTGATACGGTCGTTGCTCCAGAAGAAACTGTAGAGCACCCGGAAAACCTTTACGCTGCCTTCTCTTCTACGCACGAAGAGATAACCATGGAACAGTCGATTTCTCCTCCCGACGAAACCATCGCGCTTGCTGAAGCACTCAAAGCGCTACACATCCATCCACCAATGACTATCCCATCCACGCTTACTCCACCGACATTCGTAGACTTGCCTTGTCCCAGTACAAGCCCTTGGACCTACCGCCCCTGCAGAGTACGCTGAGCTAATCGCGGAAGCAGAACGAATCCCCATGCCATTGTCCTCCATCTACGTACTCGCTAAAGAAGACGTAGCCCAGATTAAAGAATCTTCTCGAAGAAGAAGAAGGTCCCCTAAACATGGATACCGAGGCAAGGGAAAGAAAAGAGCCTCTAGCGATGATGAAGCATTCAGTCACCGTCCCGCTCCTCCCGTCATACGCCCTTCATCCTCGAACCCAGACGAAAACCGTGTTTGCAGATACTGTAAAACCCTTGGCCATCGCCAAACCAACTGTCCCGATTATTATTGCAGGATATGCAGGGAACTCTCCCCTGGACATCTATCCTTGTATTGCCACCAATTCACTGGAAGCTCCCCCACTACGCTTACTTGGAAGGACGAAGGATTCTACCAAGAACTCTCTCATTGGGAGAAAAGTTTAGATGAAGCTTACGTCAGCCAGTGCCAGGAAGAAGAAGCCCTCCGACAGGCGGAGTACCTTACTGGAGGAGGCGATCAGCTTGACTATTCCGACGACCCTATCTATTGGGCAAACCAGGACGACTCTAACCATTGTGAATACCAAGATTATGAGTAAAGTCGGTGACTTCACGCTTAGTAAGGGGGTAATGTTACAACCGCTATCTCATACTTTTACATTCTTACGATATGCCTTCCTTTCTTGAACTTGTACTTACTATCTCACGATGACTTGGTCTGTGCGCACATATGGATCTATTTAAGCACATGTATTACGCTTGTATTCTTCACTTGAATCTTACTAGGTTTTACCTGGAACATCCTTCGCTTAAGACCTCCAATCTTAAGTCGTCCTGAAACCCGATTCTTAGTCAAAGCACTCCTTGACTAAGTCCACAGAACTCTCTCTTGTCTGAGAGACTGAGAATCTCAACGACCGAAAACTCTGTCGAGTTGTCGTTGTTAGAACTATCCTAGTTCGTAACAGTGGGCGATCACTGCTGGGAGATGTTGGATTGGTGAGGTTATTGGGAAGTCGTACAGGTGAATCCGACAATTGGTTGGTGTCATGGGTCACTAACCAGTCAGGTATCCCACTTCCTGTGGTGGTGAAAGCGTGGGGATCGAAGGCTGAGAAATCGGCGGTCCCCACTACGATGGGGTCCCATGCGGCCGCAGAGTGAGAATCACGACGCAACTCTGCAGCAAGTGATAAATGATCGCTTGCTCCAGTCATGCTGACTAGCCCACTCGATGCATCAGCAGTATCCAATGGAGTATGTGAGCTGCTCTACATGCGCAATGAGACACATTTGATGTATATTGATAGGCTATTACTCACTGCATTATCTCCAAAATGCTCATCGGCTTGGGGAGTCATTCGATACAGGTCGCTTGTATTAAGGCCGGGTACCAGGAGATCCTCGACTCGACTCATACTACCCTCCCCAGCGCTCTTTTCCCACTCATTGGCTTCGTCACTGTCCAAGTCTGACAAGGACTCTTCATCTTCATCACTTGCCGATTCATGAGGTAGGGTAGATTCAAATACTAGTTGGGAGAAGGTAAGGTTGGGCTCTGAATGTATAGAAACTCGAACTTACCGAGAGCGTTTTGCACGAACGCTAGAAAGGCAGCTTGCATTGCATCAAAATCTTTGTAAGCATGATTGAACTGGGCGCCGCTTTGAAGTTCGCCAATGTGGTAACTTGACTAATGATGAGCACAGCCTCCGTTGAGTGTGTAAATGCTAGCACTACTCACTTGAACACTGATGCTTCTCCTGTTGTAGGATCGCGACCTCCCATGAGAACGGTAAACTTCCAGCCACCTGTAATATGGGCGAGATACTTGAGGATGCGGTCGAGCATTGGGCCCAGCTCACGGATTGCCCTACAGAGGATCAGTAATGTGAGGCTTGATTGATAAATGGTACATACTTGACTTTCGTCTTGTCATCGATTTTCGGTGTCTTCCCAGACTTCAAATCCTGACGCTTTTTTCAGAATCTTGCTTTGGCCTTCTGATACTTCCTGTCAATATCGGCTTTGACGGATTCACTTTCCTCTGAGTACATACGCCGTGTGATCTCACGGCGCTTGTTCAGCTTGGGGCCTCTGCTGGTAATGTTCTCTGTTGCAATTGCAGCGTCTGCAGTATGCTTGACCTTTGCTTCATAGAATTTATGTGAGTAAATATTGATCTTTTGTGGGGCGCGTGTGCCTTTGAGTTCCACGCCTCCACCCAATACGGCATCAAATTTCAGCACACCCCTGGCCCCCTTTGAGCGACCAAGACGTGCCGGATTGACCTTCCACCTATACCAAGTGACAAGTTGCTGTCCAAAATCAATTAGTACGCCCTATCCAGTTTTCATACATGTGACTTACCTGCTGACGCACCTCAACCGCCTTGGCAAGAGCCTTGGTTTCATCCGGGGTGAGAACATGGTCAGCTGGCATGTCTTTGAAGATGACTTGTTCCTCAGGCCACTTTTCGAACCATAGAGCCCATATGCTCGTGAAAAATTCATCGAAATTCTTGTCTGCGGCACTCTCACGGAATTTGGACATGAAGCTCAAAAGATATTCCTCCTGCTCTGGAGTGGTCCATTTTTTGCCTGGCATCTGGCATAACCCCCGTAGCAAGGTCAGTTTTTTTTTCAAATAAAAGCAAAGCTTGGGGCACACTTTGACGGTATGTAGGTGATAACGACAACAGGTGATATTCCACCACGGTGATCCTCGAGTACGGTAATCCCTCAATTTCCTAATTCCTCAGGCCACTTCTTATTGAGAGTATATTCCCAGACTTTCACTAATTTAACAAAATTATGCACGCAAGAAAAGTTGTCTAGTTCTACGCTAGATTTACACATATCACACCGCCACGCTCTCGCTCTCTCGCTTTACGCATGCACCGAATGGCTCCCTCATCTATCCCCTAAAAAAACAAATCAACTGTGGTGATAAACGATCTTCAGACAGAATATCTCACCTTCGTGACTTCTTCACAGAAAAATATTCCATTAGTGTTCGTTTTGGCGTGCGCGTCTGTTGATATAAGGTGTTCATAATGATGAAAATTTGAATCCTCTTGCTCGCACAGTGAGCATATGTTCCTGTCTTTACACGACCAAACAGGACGAACATACTCGACGACGGCATCGAATAGCTTCAGCAAGCAATGCCTCCTGCAGCCCAGACAGTGCTTGATCATCGGGTATGTCTGCGAAGTGCACAGTATGTTCAGGCCAAGTCGTGAACCAGTGTGAATATACATTCTCCCAAAAATCATCCTGTTCTTCCACTGACCCAGAGCGAGCAATCTTAAATGCAGACAAAAATGTTTTGAGCATATCGCGCTGGTCACACGTGAGGACAGCAATCTGCGACATGGACATGGTGAGAGGAGAGCAAAATCAAGTTGTGGGATAGCGCCATAACCTGACCTACAGAGACCATACACGTCTTCGCAAAAAGATCTGCGCATAGGTACATTTCATGTTGTCGTCGCTAATCATAGTCCCACGGACAAAGATAGAAGCGCAGGCTCTACATGGTAGGTACACTAGATGGGGAACTTGTACTCCTGGTACCACAACTCACCTTCTATGAAGGCAGCCACTAATTCACTGTCTCCGCCTTCCGCCAGATGCAACAAGATGTCCTCCACCATTCCTATCATTTCCCTCATGATGTTACAGGGATCTGTAACACCTACTAGAGCCCCAGCTCTCCCTACACCTGCCCCCGCTCTGCTAGACTCCCCGCGCGGCGGTGCGCCGCCTGCGCCTAGAAAGACAGCGGTCTGGACCGCTATGACCCCGCCTCAAGGCGCTATGACCCCGCCTGATGCTATGACCCCGCCCCTGGCCTAGACGGCCTTGTACCTGGTCCATGGAGGCTGTATGCCTCATGGTCACCCTAGATCAGCGCATGTATACAGCATGTCGCTTCATGAAGATCCGGAGCGCCCTAGGCGCCTCATGTATGAAGACCCGGAGCGCTTGGCGCTTCCTGTACCTATGCGCAGCAGCCCTTGGCGCCGCATGTATGATCAGAGGTTAAGCCTCATGTATGCTATCTCTCCTCATGTCTAGTTATCTTAGATTACCGATATACTATAGATTACAGACTGAGCTAGAATACCTATAGCTAAACCCTATAAGAGTAGCTACATTGTCATAGATTATCTTTACTTTAATCTACTAGGTTCTACCAAGAACTTGCTCATCTAAGCTTAACCGCTTCCTTGTGTGAGACCGCACTTCAGAGTCGCTCCCATACGCCTCTGCACGTATCCGCTAGCCCTGCATCTCGACGAGCGCCGTCTTACCGAGATCGCCGGAGGAATCCTTGACGTTCCGTCAAGGCCAGACCACGCTCAGCTTCAGTAGACTCACTCGAGTCGTCGCTGAGAAGACCTATCCTAGTTCGCACACGTCGACCTACAGTCGACGTAACACATGAACTTGCAGATGCCTTCTGCAGCACGCCACTCGTCACAGACACCGCACATCTGAAGGATACCATCCAGCCCACGGTTGGCTCTGTCAAGAAAGTCTTCAAAGTTTGTAATAGCGCATTCAAAGACAGATCTGTCTCCGCTCCCGGTAGGATATAGCTCGGGGTCAGGCATGGTTTTGGAGTACTCATCCACGAGGAGGTCGAAGAATCTTCATGGGGCTTTGATATGCGTCATGAAGTCGTCCTTGGCATACTTGACCACGGCAATGCAGTCTTGTAAAGTTTCGCTGTTACCAATGTCAGACGTGTCGAGACATGTAAGTCAAAGCAGCACATACATCGGTTCGTCTTCATCATCTGAAAGATCGTTGACTTGACAGGCTTTTTTTTCTTGGCATACCTGACGCTGCTTTGCCAGTATAACCTCTCGACACCTGGGGTCTTTCGGTCAAGTTGACTCAGAGATACCGTCAGTTTATTACTTACTTTAGATAGTGTCGACGACGCTTGTCTCTCACAGCTTGTACTCTATCTTGATGAGTTTTATGAATAGTCGGGCGTACCATAATGATGAATGTAGTGACTGCGAAGTAATGTTGTATGGTGAGGAGAAAAAGAACGAAGCATTTATACGAAGCACTCACATTTGTTTGGACCAAAACAATGAGTCTTTGATTTGTCGAAGCATTCGCGAGGATGGTCGGACCATAACACAATATTAAGACAGTGTGTGCGAGAGAGACCTACCAGCTAGGTGGGATGCTAGTATTTTGAAAGATACGTGTGAGTGTGATGTGTCGCGGTAGTACTACCTCATGATAAATATCACCCTGGACTTACATAGCGTTTGAATGCCTGAATCCCCCTAACTTCTATGCATGCGAGTGAAGTCAGTAACTGGATCCAAAAAGGTTGGACCATAATCATGTGGGACAATCAGCAATCAGCTGCGTAGATATTGGAACAAAATAACTAAATGGCAGGTTGTCTCGTAGATTACTGCGGTATTTCACTGAGATCTATTCAACTAAGATACAGGCCTGCAATGACAAGAACATTATGTTGTAGGACTGCGGTAGGACCAAAACATGCGGTAGGACCAAAACATGCGGTAGGACCAAAACATGCGGTAGGACCATAATAGAATTAGGTGTTATTGGTTCCGTTGTTGGCATGTGCAACTGTGAACCAGCCGCCTTGTCTGAGAAGGGAATGTATTATTCCCTGCTCAGACAAGGCAACTGGTGTTGGTAGTGGTTACCATTTTCTGGAGTCGACAGTATCAACGGGAAAGTGAGTTCTAACGCATCTTCATCTAACACGTCTCCAAATACCAATAGTGCCAGCAACATTTCTAATAATGCCAATACCATGGTAGTGGCACAAACGAGGTGTTACCATTTTCTGGAGTTGACAGTATTGATGGGGAAGTGAGTTCTAACGCATCTTCATCTAACGCGTCTCCAACTTCGTCTAACGCGTCCCCAAATACCAATAGTGCCAGCAACATTTCTAATAACACCAATACCACTGCGAACGCCAACTCGAACTCTAACACAATGTATTATTCCCTTCTCAGACAAGGACCTTCCAATATATTCCAGTTTCAGTAGGTCAAATACTTCTTTCCTAAATGACCACTCCAATATTCCAGTTTCAGCAGGTCAAATGCGCTGTATGGCTTCATCAAGCCTTTTCTAGCTCCTCCTGTTTCTTCTGGCTAGCACCGTACTTGCCGGCAATTCAGTAAGTAAATCAGATTCACTGTATGGTCTTAGTTTTATCCAAGTTTCTAGTTTCAGCAAATTGAATGCACTGTATAGTTTTGCCAGGTCTTTTATAGAGCCATAGCGTCAACAGGTGGGTCACTTTCCTTGCCATTCTTACGCTGACCAACATGTCAGTCAAAGTACCATTCTTCATCAAACACGTCTCATTTTCACCTATCGCCGTCAATAATGCAGTCTCCACAGCGCCAAAGGAGCTCACATTCGTCTACGATGGCACTCCTGAATTCGAGCAGGCAGCACGATCGATGGCAGATGAGTGCCTGCTTTCATACTATAATGGCGTCTATTACAATCTTCCAGGTGCGTTAATGGTGGTGGAATTTCTCTCATTGCTAACAGTATTTCAGAACAAGTCAAAGACAAGCAATTACTCTTCTATGTCATTCGCGGTTCCCACATTGGTGTAGTCGCTGGCTGGTGAGCGCAGTTTTGTTATGAATATTTATTATATTTATCAAACATTTGAACACTAATAGGGAGAATGCATTGAACTGCGTCCTGGGCGTTAACAAGCCTGAATATCACGAAGTTGTATCTATTGCGCTCGGGGAGCAACTGGTGAGGGAGGCGATTGATAAAGGCCAAGTAGAGATGGTAGATCCCTGGGGGCTCTGATAGTTAGGCCTGTTCTATTAGTATTACTATTTGTCAGTCGCGCTGTAGGGTCTTATGAAATTCGGGTGTCCATTACTATTTGTCAAGTCGCGCTGTATTCGCGTGTCTGAGGTTTTGAAATGTTCGGGGTCCTCAATTCCCACAGTGACAGTCAACATTGACCCAATCAGTTCCTTGCCAGCAGTAGTGCGCCATGGATGAATCATCACAGACCGTTCAGGCCATACCTCTTTCATGCTCATTCCGTCAGTTAAATAGCCGTGGGCGCGGACGAGGTTGTGGGCGATCAAATTCAGACATACCAAGCCGAAAGCATGCTCGACTAAACCCCTACACACCCACGAATCCACATTCCAAAGCACCCATCCATACCTCTGTCACATTTGCATCACGTTAAGAAGGCGATTTGATTGTATCTAAACAGAAAATCCTAGGGACCACATCCATATTGTCATCCTATGAACCTGACAGCCAATATGCTGTTTCAGGAGAGGATTTCTCTGATTTTCCCTATGATTGCGAGGAACCGGAACCATCTGTATTACTAGATGAGAGTGCAAGGCATAAGCGAACGGCTGTGGTATGTTTTATTTAATGATAAGTAATTGTTCTCATTGATCAAACGAGACATTAGGACCATCCCCTTCTCATCTGGATGAAGGAATGTGATTTTTTTATAGCGGAAATTCTGCGACACGATGGACGCAGAGATCACACTTCTGACACATGTCCTGGATGTCGATGTCCGACATTTACACCCCCACGATATCGATGCCAGGAGTGTCTGGATGCGCAATTGTACTGTGGCGCCTGTATCATCCAGAATCACATACGGTTACCTACCCATCATATTCATGTCAGTTTATTTTCTCAATTGTGAAAGCACTGATAGCTCATTAGCTTCTTAGGAATGGAACGGTCAATTTTTTGAGCGTGTTTCATTGAAAAGCATGGGCCTTCGCGTACAGCTGGGTCACGCAATCGGCGAGTGGTGCATTCTTCCCAGAAAGGCATTCAACGACGATTTTGTTCTCGTCGATGCCAATGGTATTCATGAAATTGGGCTGGACTTCTGTGGCTGCACGACCTCCCAGACACATACTAGGCAACTACTGCGTGCTGGTTGGTTTCCATCGACTTCTACTAATCCACGAACAGCCGCAACATTCCGTGTTCTTCATCAATACCATATTCTGTCTTTTGAGTCAAAGGCTTCCGCATATGAGTTTTATCACTCGCTGGTTCGCTTAACGGACAACACAGGCTTGACCAAATGAAAAGTAAGTTTTAATCTCACTAAGTGTGAATTTTTCAGTTCACACTGTCGTTTCAGGATCGTTATGAATCTTTCATGCGCATGGTCTGTGAATGGCGTCACTTGGTGATGTTAAAGCACTCAGGACGTGGCCATGATCCAAGTGGTGTGGCGGGTACTTCGGAGGGTCAGTGTGCTGTGTTATGTCCTGCATGTCCGCAGCCTGGGAAAAATCTCCTGGACAATTGGCAAGATGCTCCAAAGGCCAAAGGGTGAGTCCGATATATATCACAAGGTGGTCAGGACTCGAGAGCGCTGATCATATCTCAGTTGGCTATATGGACTTTTTCTGGCGATTGATGCCAACTTTCGTCTGAAAAGACGTGTGGTATCGTCCGATGAGATTGATCCCAGCCTTTCACAAGGTTGGGCTTATTTTGTAGAGGAGGCATCTTACAAGTCTCACATCTCAGACAGGGCTGAAGATACACAAGAGGTACGTTTCTTTACCGCTTGGGTCAAGATGCTGTCTGACATTCTAACTTGCAGAAAAGCACGTGCTCCAGCCACAACGCTGTGAACATGGCAGACACCAAATTATCTCAAGGACTTGTGGCAACAGGAGTAGGTACTGTTGATTGTGCACGTCATAATATGAAGCGTCCCAATGGAGTTGGCGACCTTCAAAAGGGAGAAAAGTGGGTTTTTTCTCACTAATTTTATGGTCTGATCTAACAAACACGATCAGGTATCTGAACATGGATTATCTGTTTTTCTCTACACTACAACACTCCACGGTAGATGTCTTGAATGTGTCATATGACATCGCTTGTCAATGGCACAAGCATCTTTGGTCACGCATGCTGTCTTTGCCACCTTCCCACCACTTGAACTATCTTACGAGGACGATCCGCTTCTTTGTGCCCAAGTTCCATCTCCCTGCGCACGTCTCCAAGTGCCAAACAATTTTTTCATTCAACTTTACTCGCTTTGTCGGGCGCACAGATGGCGAGGCACCAGAGAGAGGATGGTCCAATATCAATCCTGTAGCTTCAAGCACGAAGGGTATGGGTCCAGGCTGTCGTCGAGACACACTAGACGATCATTTCGGCGACTGGAACTGGAAAAAAGTAGTTGGACTTGGTGAGCTCTAGTTGCACAGTATTATGTACACAAAAACTAATAGAGTTGGTTTTAGGATCATTGCTTTTATTCAAGATAAAATAAGCCCAGACAGAAAAGGCCGAGCATGGTGCTGCCTTCGAGGAGTTTGATAGTGTCATCACGTCTGAAAATCGCGTGGCCTGGAAGGTTGAAATGGAGGCATGGGAGGAAAATCCAAACGATACGACGGTTTCCAACCCGTTACAGCTGAAAGGCATTGGTGAGTTTGATTTGATCTCTTTGGTGTACCCTACTTGACATATAAATCGACCAGCGATTACACAAGCAAGTGCACGCTTGAACTTAGCCCAGCTCGAGGCTGAGGATCTCGAACGTGGTGTAGATCTTTCACTTCACCCTGATGTATCGCCAAGTGTACTCATCGCATCAGGCATTGACCTTGAAGAAGAACAGTGAGTGATTAGCACATGTCTCACTCACCATACTAAAACGCTCTACAAGGCGGCGCTTGAAGGCCATAGCCGACAACATGGGTATTTATGCCACGGATACACAGAAGTTGAGTATCCTCCGCATGAGGATGTCTCTTCATCGAAAGACCGAATCTTGGAGGCGGACCCAGCTTCTATATGTACCATCGGTGCAAGTACTCGTCAACATGTCAGCAACCAGTGCTCTTGAAAATGCTGAGCTTATGAAGCTGTGGCTCCTGTCCGCATTGAATGGTAATGCTTGTGATTTGCACCTCCAACACATCGAGTGGGAATTGCGATTCGCGCAAGCTCACGACGCTTTAGAAGAGCTTAGGCAGTGCCTCCATGTACACTGCTCCCTCTTGAATTTCAAGAGGGAATGGATTCGGGGCCAAGGGGCCAATACTCGGGCTCAAAACGCGCTCGCATGTATACATGCTAGGCAGGCAGCGTGCGTGAAGCGCTATAGGACTGCATGGGGGGCTCTCAAATCTCTCGCACAGATTCTGAAGAAGGTAGATTGGCGTGGACGGTTGCAGGACCTCTCTGATGACGACGTGAAGCCACTCATCGACCCATTTGCCACTCAGGGAGAGGGAAGGCGAAGACTGACGTGGATTTGGATGATGGACAGTGTGGACAATTGCGCAGATGGTGGGGACGTTGATGGTAAGGTTTCCGATCCATTTTTCATGGGATTAATCTCAGCGTTTGCCAGGTGTTCGTGTTGAATGGTGCAAATCCCGTGCCAGGGCGCTTTGCTGGGCTGAAGAAGTGGACCTTCTCCAGGAGGAGATGCACCGGGTTTTGCTATTTTTCAATTGGCAGGCAAATTGGTGGGAAGGACAGGGAGTCCTCCAGGTCCATGAGTCCACCCCCTGCGATGGAGAAGAACCAGGAACTGCTGCCCGCCATGAGGCTGTTGCCCGGGATGAAGGCTTGCGCGCTTATGCGTCTAGGCAAGCCAATATTCGCCGTCGCCTCGCTGCCCATTTTGACCGCATATGGGCCCCATTCACTTCTCCTCAAGACATACTGGGCAATCCGACTGCCATGCTCCCGTTACCTGATTTAACAATCCCTGATATGCCCTGATGCTTCAGATTTTCTGTCGATTGTTGGTACCTACTTAGTGTACCTTGTATTACATCACTAGTACTGAATGAAGTTGCCGGTCTTAAAATTGCCGGTTCTAAGTTACCTTAAAGTTACTGGGGCCCAGACCAAAGTATAGGCTGGTAGGGTACTATGGCATCAAGGCACTCAAGGGCACTCGAGTCTGATAGTGAGCATGGTTTAATGCATCAATAATGCATCGGGAGGCTTTGTAATGTACATAGTTGATGCATTAGCTATCACTGGACACCAGCAGACTTGATGCATCAATGCTACAGGGACTTGTGTACTTTTTTTGACTTCAATGCCTTCAGAGTGAATTCCTCCACGATAGCCCAAGCCAACCAAGTCACATTTCACCCTCACATGGTACATAACATTATCTTTCCCAGTGAATAACCTCATCTAACTTTTTGCACTGCGCTGTCAGATGGTGCGTGTTTTTATATTACGCATGTCTTTGAGCTGATTGTGAGTAGCAGAGTATGGGTATAACCGCATCGAGGAAATTTAGGAAGACTGTAACAATGCTTGCGATGAGGATGGAGCATGCTTCCAGCCGACGATGGGGACTTGGAGGATTATATGGAATGGGAGGACGGGGAGGACCATGAGGAGACAGTGTTTTATGGCGAACTTTGAACATGCTACCCCCTGTACAACTGCAGACTCAGCTTCATGTGCTTTGATGTTTGTTTCCCTATGTATATGAACAGAATCATTCATCATCAGGTGAACTTGGAGTGTTCAAGCTCAAGATTAAGTACTCTGTTTGAAATACATGTCAATCACTCTGCTCATGTATTTTTTTGCCGCCATCACCTTGTCCTGACCCTTCAATACTCAATGTTGTATCCCGAGCAGTAGCTTCAGGGATCTATAAAGTACATTCATTTGAATCCTTGAGGTTGTACGCAATCACACGCATTTCACAACATCAATTGCGTCTTAGGAGAGCTGTGCATATGCTTCGATCGACGCCAGCCTCGGCCTCGGCCAGATTGATGTGTGCATGTGCATGCAATGCCTGTACTGGTACTCGCATAACAGATGCTGAAGCTGTCGCTCACATTATTGTTTCCATGATCGCTTACATTGATCAATCCTGTTGTGGGACGACGTCAATGGGCAGCTCGAATGAAATCATTTGCGGTTCGCGACTACGGGCATATCAAAACCTGGACCGATCCAAGTACTGCTTTTGAATGAGTTTGTCATCAACCCATCAGAATGAGGAACCACGCCATGTCCTTGCGTTCTTTCTTTCCACGAGTCTCCGAGTTTGTTGCAAAAAAATGAAGAGTGGGCTGAATACGTCGTTTATTCGTGTCATGACTCTGATACTAGTGCGTACAACAGTAGTGTCATAAGCTAATAGCATAGAGTCACCAAGCCGCAGTCACCAGAGTCGTTTTTACTTGATCCCGGTCCGATGTGACATAGGTTGACTTACATAGCCGCTGTCCCGGGGAAACTGGGCTTTTCGAACGTAGGCGGTGGATAGACATCGATTAGACAAGGTGTAAGCCTTGGTAAAATTGGGAAAACGCATGAGTTAAGCAGAAGAACGCAGTTGCGATGTTGCATCACCTAGTCCTACTAGTATAAGCTGATATAAAACGCGTGAAAATTGCTTCTCGCAGATGACGACTTACCCAATGTGTGGTTCCAAGAAATAGACGACTTGAGCCTCAAAAGAGGGACTTCGACTGGGACCGGGTCGAACGTTCAACGCACTGCGGCTGATCTGAACTGCAAGCCCAACAAGTCACTCTGCCAAATTACGTGAGAATCAAGGACGCTCTTCGAATTCAGCTCGAGGTCCATCGCATCATTTGTCAGGTAAATCATGTGAACTTATCAATCAAGTTTGCTGTCTAAATTTTGATACAGAGTTCAAAGTTGAACTTGCGGCACTTGCCTTACATTTCCCGCCATCGTCTGTCAACCCCACCGGCGGTATGAGGCCACCATGATAGTTGCAAAATCCTGGAGAGCGTAGCACCGAACTCCTTCACATCCAACGACCCCACAAGAATGTTAACTTCTGGATCAGTTCATATCCAGGTAGCTCCACTCCATATCTGCACGATAATGCAATTGGCTATGCAGGTTGCACAATATTTTTTCAAACGAACACTAAGTCAGGCACATCGTAAGTAACGCCTTCGTTCGCTCAAGTTAGATTTCACTCAAATCCAGTTAAGCATCAATAGGTGTGCGACGTGACGTGTTTTCCGAGTCAGGGACCTTAGTATTGTTGTCAAGTTTGCACGATAGGGTTTTCCGGACCGCCGTTTCTTGCTACTTCAATGGCTTCGGAGGTGAGCATTATTCCCAGAGATGTGACACCACGGGCTCCCGCAGACTCCCGCACGTGCCCCTATTGTACAAGGCCCAAGTGTTGAAACATTCCCACCACATAATTCCCAGAATTGTCATTCTTGCGACCCCACGGGTCGAGATTAAAATGATGCGGGTCGCAGTCAAAGCCAAAGTCTTGACTGTGTTTAGTGGCAGTCATCAGCTTCAGGGAATCGTACGCCGACCTGCTTGCTATTCCTTCTTAAGACGGTTTATCTCCACTATGGCATCATCAAATCCAAAGGTGTGGTTTGGTAAGCATGGGATATCTCGGTGGCCCGAAAACGCTAATCGTCGTTGCTAGTCACTGGGGCGTCTTCGGGTTTTGGTCGAGCAGTTACCGAAGTCATGCTTCAGAGAGGAGACAATGTTGTTGCGACTCTGCGGAAACCTGCTATGCTAAATGACCTCGCAAATGTGTACTCACAGAATCGGCTTCTCATCTTGCCTCTGGATGTCACAGTTCCTTCTGAAATCAGTACCGCTTTTCTCAAAGCGCGCGAGGCATTTGGCCGCATCGACATTGTTTTCAACAATGCGGGACTATGCATAATCGGTGAAGCGGAAGGCATGCCTGATGACGACGCAAAGCTCTTGTTCGATACATTGTTTTGGGGTGCCGCAAATGTCACGAAAGAAGCTGTGACAACGTTTAGAGATTTCAACCAACCCCCTGGGGGACGCCTCTTGCAAATGTCGTCTCGCGGAGTCCTGCGAGTTATTCCAGGGGTGGCGCACTACGCCGCAGCGTACGTGACGCCTTCTCACTCATCGTTTTAACTGACATTTGCATAGTAAAGCAGGTATATACAATCCAGTTATTCTTGATTCAAGAGATTTAGATTTAATCGCAAACAGCTCTTGAATCTCTTTCGGAAGGGTATGCTGCTGAGTTGGATCCAGCATGGAACATTAAGGTGCGTTCTACGCACGATACTAATTTCGAACTCGAAGTCATCATCCACAGATCACTGTTATTCAACCTGCTCGCTTCCGTACTGCTGCACCGTGGACCAATGTTCTCGTGCCAGTCCATCCTGCGTACTCTGATCCAAATTTACCTTCTAGACAGTACCGCAGCATATATCCAGGAGCTGAACATTTTTCAGACGGAGACATCTACAAGTTTGCAGCCCAGATTCATAGGCTCGTGCAACTAGAAGATCCCCCGTTTTATCTCCCGTTGCACAGAACAGCGTTGGAAGCGGCAAAGATCAAAGGCCAAAAGTTGTTGCAAGCTGTCGAAGATTACGGTAGTTGGTCAGATGATGTATATCTCGACGAGGAAAACTGTCAGGGGCGAGCATGATTTTGTAAACTTGTTGCATGCGCTGATTTTCGACATGCACAGTTTGCATGTGTCCTTGAGGGATGCTCAATTCTAAAATGTTGTTATCGTGCGGGACCCGGGCACCGACTTAAGCCTATCTTGAACGGGACTACAATGTGCCTAAACCTTAATTCTAGTAATACTAGCTCAAAATGGGACATCCAGCTGACTTCACGAAATCGAATGAAGCATTCAATTTCCACTTTCATTCGCTTCGTTATCTATCAAAGAGCTCTATCATGATCAGGTGGGCGCCGGTTTAATATCCCTTCCTCATAAGGCTCAGCTTCGTGATCACTATGAGTGTCCACATATCCATCTTCTGCCCAAGCTCAGTTTGAGAATACGTCGTCAGGTAATGACCTCCCCGAAAGTTTGGTTTAGTTGGTTTGTTTCTATAGCTGGGCAGGAAACAAAACTAACAACTTCCTCTGCATTCAGTCACTGGTACATCGACTGGTCTAGGGCGAGAGGTTGCTGAATACGCTTTGAGCAAAGGAGACAACGTATTCGCCACCCTGCGCAAGCCTTCGATGTTGGAAGACCTCACAGCTAAATATCCCTCCTCCCGCCTCGTCACTTTCCTGCTCGATGTAACAGATACACCCTCGATCACCACGGCATTCAATGAGGCCCTCTCACACTTTAATCGTATCGACATCGTGCTGAACAATGCAGGATACTGCGTGGTATCAGAAGCTGAAGGCGCGTCCCACAAGGCAGCACGAGAGATGTTCGATGTGCTGCTTTGGGGTGCAGAAAATGTCATGCGTGAAGCCATACGATGCTTCAGGGACATAAATCGTCCAGTGGGCGGGCGATTATTGAACCTTTCTTCACGGACAGCCATCATTCCACAGCCTGGCACTGTACACTATGCTGCAGCGTGAGTTCGCATATTCTGCACATTTTACTTCGTAAGCTCACATTCGAATGATAGAAAAGCTGGTAGGCTCTCAATTTCATCTTATGTTTTTGAAGTCCAACTGAGCATTTACTAGCTTTGGAATGTTTGTCGGAAGGGTATATTAGCGAACTTGACCCAGAGTGGAATATCAAAGTAGGTCGCTTGTATTTCCGGTGTTAGAAAGTAATTTATCTCTATAAAGATCACTCTAATTGAGCCAGGTTTGTTTCGTACGTCGGTAATCCAAAACGTTGTGGCGGAACCCATTCACCCCGCTTATGCATCCAATGCATCCCTTCCTACGCGCAAATACCGTGCTCTCTATCCTGACATCGAGAAGACGCATTTTGACGGCGATCCGGCCAAGTTTGCAGAAGT